CCAGCTGGGCAACGTTTGCGCTGCCAGACTCGGAGCAGTCGTGGCTAGCGATTGTGGTTGTAAAGTCGAATGGTCGTAAGTTGCATAGGTCGTAAGTTGATCAATACCTGTATTGCAGCGGTAGCGGCAGGAAACAAAGGTTTATTGGACTAGATTAGTGGTTGGTGGAAATGGGGACAAGATGATGAAAAAGACGCCATTAGGAGATCAAATTGACAGGCCTTGCTGGTGGGTTGGGTGAAGGGATAGTGAGAAAGATGAGGATCCGGGGAGGACGCCTAGTTTCCTGCTTATGTTTGTGAGTGGACAGTGGAGCCCTCCGCTGAGAATCCTGGTCAAGAATCAAGTTGTTAGGAGGAAGTAGTGAGCTCAGATGGAGACAGGTAGAGGTTTAAGGTACTTGGGAGGCATGGAGGAGAGATGCTAGGCAGGAGGTAATGAACACAGCTCTGAGGTCCCATCACATATCCAGGGCTGGGCAACAAGCCTGTTGATGCAGATGAGCTTTCCTAGGGAGAGACTGAGGACGCCAGAGAGTAGTTGATGGTGTAAGAGTGACACTGGTCTCACATCATATATATCCAGCTTGGAGACCCAGGCTGGTACAGATCTCAACATAGTCACTCACAGGCACACTTATAGCTCAGACTCCCTAAAGATTAGCCCGCCCTTTATTTATTTATTTATTTATTTTTGAGACACGGTCTCACTCTGTCACCCAGCTTGGAGTGCAGTGGCATGATCACAATTCACTGCAGGTTCGACCCCGCAGCCCAATCAATCCTTCCACCTCAGCCTCCTGAATAGCTGGGACTACAGGCATGCTCCCACACCCAGCTAATCATTTTTTATTTTAACTTTTTGTAGACACGTGGTCTTGCTATGTTACCCAGGCTGGTTGCAAACCCCTGGGCTCAAGTGATCCACCCACCATGGCTTCCCAAAGCAATGAGATTATGGGCATGAGCCACTGTACCTGGCCTAATATTAAAATAAGATAGTGCAAGCACTCATCCCCATGCTGTGGAAGACCTCCTGCAATATCTCTATCCATGGGCTTCCAGGAAGACTCTTCTGAGTCAAATCACACTGTAGCCACCCTCAGCACTAGCCCCAGCCCCTAACTGTGGTCTCGACCTCCAACTTTGGCTGATTAAACCCACATCCTGCCCCATGTACTCTCCCCAAATGGCACCAACAAAGGTTGTTGTGTGTAGCAGACTTCTGTGAAAAATTTGGGACAGTAGGGACAGTGACAGTATACAACAGGAAGCAAATTAAAATTCAATATCAGGCAGCATCATTGCTAGAAATTTATCAGCTGTACCGAACCCTAGGGAATTCTGTACTGGCCATGACTTTCCGTGGAATCTCTCCCTCGCTCCCTGTTAGGGTCTTCATTCCCTCTGGCCTTTCCTCCCATCTCCCTTTGTCTTGTCTCTGCATCCTCCATCCCTGCCTCCCAGGCTGACCCCAGAAATTAAGCAAGAAATTCAGCTCTGTTTTTGTTCTCTCCCTCACCTTGCAGACCTTGCCAGGCCACTTACAACACCCACGGGGACCAACAATTTATTTCACAAAACAAAGAGCCATCTCTCATGACAGAATGATGTCCATCCCCTAGAATGGTAAACTGGCTGCCTTCTGGCCATTCTTTAATTTTTTTCTTTTATTTTTTCAGAGACAGGATCTCACTCTGTTGCCCAGGCTGAAGTGAAGTGGCATGATCATAGCTAACTGCAGCCTCTAACTCCTGGGCTCAAGTGAACTTCCCACCTCAGCCTCCCAAGTAGCTGGGACTACAGGTGTGTGCCACCACAGCTGGCTAATTTTTATTTTTTGTAGAGACGGGGGTCTTGCTATGTTGCCCAGTATGGTCTCCAACTACTGGGCTCAAGCCAGGGGGATTCCCCTGGCCTCGGCCTGCCAAAGTGCCGGGATTACAGGTGCGAGCCACCACACCCAGCCTCGCCATTCTCTAAAAGGCACCCCTCACATACATTCATGTGCAGGCATGTACATTTACTTTCACATTTGCTCATGTGCACACATGCTCATAATTGCACGTACACACTCGTGTGCACACGTTCACACTTACACACACTTGGACATGCAGATGGGCTAAAGGCTTTTCACAGTGAGCATCTGGGGTAGATGGAAACCATGCCCTCAGGTTAACCCCACCTCCAGTGTGAGTGTGTGCGTGCACATGTCTGTGTGTACACTGGCTTTCTGCTCCTTTACACACTGAGCTGTCTTAAGGGAGTCTGTTCCTGAACCCATGCCTGTCACCTGGGGAAGGACCTCTCCTCTGCCCAGAAGCTGGTACTGAGCTGGTGAGTCTGATCTGGCTTGGACTGTGCTAGGGTCTGAAACGTGGCTCTGTCAGTGTCACAGAGGTAGCCTCACCCTGGGCAAACAAGCCAGGACTTGGGGCTGTGGCAGGAATAATGGCCCCCAAAGACGTCAATGTCCTAATCCCCAGAGCCTGGGAATATGCCAGTACCCATGTGCACAGGGGACTTTGCAGACATGATTCGGCCAAGGGTCTTGAAATGAGCAGACGCATTGTAATCACAGGACTCATGAGGGGAAGAGAGGCAGGGAGAAGACCACAGGACAATGAGAGAAGAGGTCGGAGGGCTGGGAGGAGGGCTTTGAAGATGAAGGAAGAGGCCCCAAGCCAGGATTACAGCAGCCCCTAAAAGCTGGAAAAGGCCTGGGAAGGCTTTTGCCCTAGGGCCTCTGGAAGAAACACAGCCCCGCCTTCCCCTTAATCTTAGCCCTGTAAAGCTCCTTTTAGACTTCTGCAGAACTGCTAGGGACTACATTTGTATTGTTTAAGCCACTAAGTCTGCTGCCATTTGTTTTGGGTTTGTTTGTTTCTTTGTTTTTTGAGACGGAGTCTCGCTTTGTAGCCCAGGCTGGAGCACAGTGGCACAATCACAGCTCACGGCAACCTCCACCTCCCAGGTTCAAGTGATCCTCCCGCCTCAGCCTCCCAAGTAGCTGGAATTACAGGCGCCCGCCACCAGGCCCAGCTAATTTTTGTATTTTTAGTAGAGACGGGGTTTCACCATGTTGGCTAGGCTGGCTTTGTGCTCCTGATCTAAGGTGATCCACCTGCCTTAGCCTGCAGAAGTGCTGGGATCACCAGGTGTGAGCCACCACACTCAGCCTGCTGCCATTTGTTAGTGCAACATTAGGGAGCTAGCACAGGTGCCCTGAGGTGCTACCAGCTCTTGGAGGCCAGAGATCAGGACAGGGCGAGGCCCTGGGAGGTGTTACCTCCAACGGGACTCAAGTTCGGGCCTTCCTGGGTCACCGCCCTGCAGCTATCTGGGGAGCTCACAAAGACTCAGGAGAAAGTTCTGCCCAGGCTGCCAGGGAGCAGGGGCCTTCCAGGACTGCATGGTGTGGCAGCAGGAGGAGGAGGAGGCCCTGGAGAAGGAGTTAGGCCTGATCATGAAGCAGCCCCTCCCAGAAGCCACACCTGCAGGAGGTAAAGCTGGAGCCAAGGACTCCCAGGAACAGCAGCTGTGAGCCCCTGGGTCTGTGGCTGAGGAAGGGACAAACCCTGCCATCCTGCAGTCTCCTTTTCAAAGGAATTCCAGGTTCTTTAGCTGATGATAGCCAAGCCCTGAGCCTCAGAGGGGAGCCAGTCCATCCCAGCTTGTGTTAATTACCAGACCAGGTAACTCAGGTGCAGGTCTGTGACTGCCACCTCTGGACCCCATGCCAGAGCCACTGTCCAGCCACCACCAATGAGCATGTGTAGGGGTGGCAAGGGACAGGAAGCCCACAACCATCTTGGGTTGCTACAGAAAAGGGGATTCTCTTGGGCCCATGCAATCCTGGGCCTCCTGAATGGAAATTCCAGGGCATCTTCAACCTTAGTTCCTCACATACTTGGATGAGATCCTAAGTACCTCTCGTGACTTTGTGCTCATAATCCCGGCAGAAGTTCTGCTGGGCTGTCTGTGGCAGCACAGCATCCAGTATAATCCCAAGAAATGACCTTGGATGAATGTCCTGAGTTCTGTAGTCCTCAGTCTATTCCTCTGTGAAATGAATGGTGTAATAGTATCAACCTCACAGTATTGTTGTAAGGATTAGGTGAAATGATGAATATAAACTTCCCGGAATAAAGTGCAAGAAAATACCTTTTTTTTTTTTTTTTTTTTTGACAGAGTTTCAGACCAAATTTCTGGATAACATTCCAGCCCATCACCATCTGATGTCCGCCAAGCACTGGTATCCTAAGCAAGTGAGTACCCTGGGCCACCTAGCATTTTCTGCGTTTTGCCAATGATTAGACCCCGGCCCCCGACTGGCCAATTTTCCAACTCCACTTCCCTGTTGAGAAAGGTTGTCAAAAATGGGTGGCGAGTCCTAGAAATCTCTTCTAAGGATTTATCTATGAATAGTAAAGGACAAGAGAGCAAGAGTGATGTTTATTATGGTGAAGTTGGAAAATTCCATGGCCAAAGCAAAGGTATTATTAAAAATATAAAACGGGTTTGCTCACTAAAATGTTATGCATTGATATAAAGGTATCTATTCATTTTCTAAAAATTGTGATGATGTACCTATATGAAAACAGAAATATGTTTATGATATATTTAAAAACTCATTTGAAATTATTTGTAAATAATTATGTATGTAGCATATGTAATATATACATTTTGATGTATATATGTGTGTTTATGTCAGATACACATAAGTATCTTAGATTTATGCACATGGGACATGGATGGAGCCAGAGGCCATTATCCTTAGCAAACTAACACAGGAACAGAAAACCAAATACCACATCTTCTCACTTATAAGTGGGAGCTAAATGATGAGAACACATGGACATATAAAGGGGAACTCCACAAAATGGGGCTTTTCAGAGGATGGAGGATGGGAAGAGGAAGAAGATCAAGAAAAATAATTGATGCATACTAGGCTTAATACCTGGGTGATGAAATAATCTGTACACCAAACTCCCATGACACAAGTTTACCTGTGTAACAAGCCTGCATTTGTACCCCTGAACTTAAAATAAAAGTTAAAAAAGTTTTCTATTAGTATTCAAATAATAAGAAATGTATAAAAATAAAGTCTCTAGTTCGCCTCAATTTTATTGAATTATGAAATTTTATTATAAAACTTAAAAATGTAATATGAAAAATTGGAAAATACATACCATATTTTTGGATAGAAAAGCTTAATATAAAATGCCAATTCTCCCAATAGTAATGTGTAAATGTAATGAATTATATTATAGTACCATTATAACTCATTATAATGAGTTACATTATAATACCATCGGGTTATAGAGCCATTTTTAATTGGGTGAAATGATAATAAAGTTCATGTAAAAGAATAAATATGTCTAAGAATGGCCAAAAATATTAAAGGGAAATATTTTGCCTTGCCTTACAGATAGATATAAAAATATACTATAAAGCCACTAGAATCCAACAATATGGTATTGGCATAGAATTAGTGGATTCACAGAAAGCTTTGGAAAAGAATAAAGAGCCCAGAAATATGTCCTAGTATGATAATTTAATACATAATAAATATTTTACCTAATTAAGAAAAAAAATTAATAATGCTAGCAAAAAAGCAGCTATTTATTTGTAAGAAAATGGAGTTGAATCCTTCAAACCATATAAAAATTTAAACTCCAATGCATTAATCAGACTTAAATGAAAAAAAAAACATAAAACCTTAGAAAAAATTTTGGTGAATACATGTATAATGCACGGTGTAGGAAGGTACTTTTACCTATGACAAGAAACCTAGAATCTATAAAGAAATAATCATTTTTGACTACATAAAATTTAATCTCATCCAGTTCATTTTTTATTTCAGATATTGTATCTTTTGATTATAGAATTCCCATTTGCTTATTTTTGTAGTCTATTTCTCAACTGAAGTTTTCTGTTTAATCGTTCATTGCTAGTATATTTTTATTCATGTCTTGAGCATAGTTATAGTAGCTACTTTTAAATTCTTGTCTTTAATTCTAACATCTAGGTCACATTAAAGTTACTCTCCATTGATTGCCTTTTCTATTGCTATGGCTCACATTTTCCCATTTCTTCATATGTCTAGTAATTTTGGATTGTATCCTGGACACTGTCAATGACAAGTTGTAGGGACTCTGGATTTTATTACATTCTTCTGAGTGTTGACTTTTTATTTTAGCAGGCAGTTAACCCGGCTGAACTCAAACTTCAAATTTTCCCCTCTGGTAAGCAGCAGCTGAAATCTCTGTTCAGTTATTTTAGTCACAGTTACGATTCCAGGAGCTTCTCAAATGAATTCACAGTTCAGAAAACAGCCTGAAGTTTGGGTGGAGTTTTTCAGGAGAATTCAGAACACATCCTACATAGAGTTCTCTTTCCTGGACTTTCCCCCTTTACTTTTCAATTTCTGTGGAAGTCCCAGATTCTGCCCTGTGATTCCTTAACAAATAAGAATGCAGATTTCTATCCAACTGTTAGCTCACTTATGTGGTGCTATGTGGGGCCTGTAGGGCAGTGACCCAGGGAGGCCTGAACTTGATGTTAGCCAAGCCCCCAGCCTCAGAGGGGAGCCAGTCATGTCAAATGTAAAAATAAGAAACACTGCTGTTCCCTTCTTACAAATGTCAGATGTTATCATTTCTGCCTGGTTTGGGTCACTTTTAGTGCCCCCACATAGCCTTTCAACCAGAATTTAGAATTACTATCTGTGGGAGAGATTGTCTTTTACAAGATACTCTGCCATTATTGGAAGCAGAACTCTTCAACTACATAAAATTTAAACTTTTTCAGGCCAGGTGCGGTGGCTCATGCGTGTAATCCCAGCACTTTGGGAGACCAAGGTGGGCAGATCACTACAGGTTGGGAGTTCAAGACCAGCCTGGCCAACATGGTGAAATCCCGTTTATACTAAAAACACAAAAACTAGGCAGGTGTAATGGGCGCCTGTAATCTCAGCTACTCAGGAGGCTGAGGCAGAAGAATTGCTTGAACCCAACGGCAGAGGTTACACTGAGCCAACATCACGCCTCTGCACTGCAGCCTGAGTAACAGAGTGAGACTCTGTCTCAAAAAAATAAACAATAAAAAATAAATGAAATTTAAACTTTTTTAGATGGCTAAATGTTCCCATAAACAAAGCTAAAAAACAAGCACTAAACTTGGGGAAAATATATTCGCAATGCCTATGACAGAGAAAGAGTTAATTTTTAGCTCTTACAAATTGTTAAGCAAAAGACAAAGCATCCAATAGAAAAATATTCCCAGGATATGAATAGGCTCAGAGAAGAGTAAACCCAAATGGCCAATAAACATATGGCTCAACCTCCTAGTACTCAGGGAAATGCAAATTAAAGTAACAATGAGGTAGCACTTCTCACCCATCATACTGGCAAAAATTCAAAAGAATGTTAACACCTACTACTGATGAGAGTGATAAGAAAAGTATATTTTCATACATTGCTGGTGCAAATGAGAACTGATACTGCCTTTTTGGAAAGCAATATGGAACAAATCTATTTTAAAGATCTAAGTATACATAGTCTTCAACCCAACAAGCCCACTCATAAGAAATTTGTCCCAGAAATAAACACAAGCACTCAGATGTAGGAATATATAAAGGTGTTAATGTCACAATATTTGTAGTGGCCAAAGACTAGAAAGACTCTGTCAGTAGAAAAAGGTTTAAAGAATGACACAGTCCTACCATGGAACAAGATGCAACCATTAAAAAGAATAGATTGGGTCAGGTGCACTGGCTCACACCTGTAATCCCAGCACTTTGAGAGGTTGAGGCGGGTGGATCAACTGAGGTCAGGAGTTTGAGACCAGCCTGACTAACATGGTGAAACCCCATTTTTACTAAAAATACAAAAAATTAGCCAGGCATAGTGGCGGGCCTGTAATCCCAGCTACTCAAGAGGCTGAGGCAGGAGAATCCCTTGAACCTGGGAGGGGGAGATTACAGTGAACAAAGACTGGGTCATCGCACTCCAGCTTGGGCAACAAGAGCAAAACTCCATCTCAAAAAAATAAATAAATAAAAAATAAAAAGAATAGATTCACTTGGATGGTTTTCCACAATGCATTGTCAGTTGAAAAATTCAAGAAATGTATGTAATGTGATCCATTTGGTCAAATAAAGATCAGCAAGTCCTACATGTGTACAGTGCCCAGGCAGGTGGAAGATATGGGATACATACCAGGTTATTAACTTCGGTTTGGGGAATATCAGGGAAAGTCCAGGAAGATGGAAAAGAGGGTCAGACAAAAAAAAAAAAGCGTTTTAAAAGTGTCCATGAAAACAGCAATATATGAGATATATTTGCAGACAAACGTGTGTATAAAAGCAAAGAAACAGAAAGATGTTTGAGGGCCAGGCATGGTGGCTTGTGCCTACAATCCCAGCACTTTGGGAGGCTGAGGAGGACGGATCACCTGAGGTCAGGAGTTCAAGACCAGCCTGGCCAACATGGCAAAACCCCATCTCTACTAAAAATAAAAAAATTAGCTGGGCGTGGTGCCGGGCACCTGTAATCCCAGCTACTCAGGAGGCTGAGGCAGGGAGAATTACTTAAATCCAGGAGGCAGAGGTTGCAGTGAGCCGAGATCATGCCACTGCACTGCAGCCTGGGTGACAGAGAGAGACTCCATCTCAAAAAAAAAAAAAGGTGTTTGAGCATGATCAAAATGTGCATGGTGAGGTTTGGAAAATTATTAATTTGCTCTTCATACAATTTTATATACTTCTTTTTAAAACCATTTTATTTATGGTAGAGATGAGGCCTTGCCCTGTTGTCCAGGTTGGTCTCCAACTCCTGGCCTCAAGTGATCCTCCCACCTTGGCCTTCCAACAATGCTGGGATTGCAGGTGTGAGTCACTGCACCCAGCCTTTTTGAATTTTTTTTTTTTTAAGAGATACAGTGTCACTCTGTCACCCAGGCTGGAATGCAGTGGCATGAACATAGCTCACTGCAGCCTCAGACTCCTGGGTTCAAAGATTCCTGCCTCAGTCTCCCAAGTAGCTATGAATACAGACAAACGTCACTATGCCTGGCTAATTTTTTAAATGTTTTGTAGAGGTGGGGTCTTGCTATGTTGCCCAAGCTGTTCTCAAACTCCTGGCCTCAAATGACCCTCTCACCTTGGGCTCCTGGCCTCCCAAAGTGTTAAGATTATGAGTATGAGCCACTGCACCTGGGCTTTAAACACTATTTTTAAAAAAATCATTTAAGTATGTATAAATATATTTATGTATACATAAATTAAAAATTTAAAGCTATTTTTATCATGAAGAAAGATTTTTTAACTCCAGAAGTATATAAAGTATATAAAGTAAAAAGTGAAAACTAAAAGACCAACCCCATTTCCATTCGCCAGACCTAATCACTTTCAACGTTTTGATGAGGGCACTTCCAGATTATATAGATTACATATACATAATACATATATATGCATACTACATGTATACACACACTATATGTATATTTTTTAATCTTATTTTTTTAACAAAACGGTCAGAAAGAAATAATAAAAGGGATGGGAAGAAACTTTGGGAGGTGATGAATATGTTTATGGCCTTGATGATGATGGTTTCACTATGTATACTTATCCCTAAATGCACCAAGTTGTACACATTAAATATGGACAGCTTTTTATATGTCAATCATGTCTCAATAAAGCAGTTTAAAAAAAAAAAGAAAACAGAGGGTCAAAGAAGAAGAAGAAAAGATGAAAGTGATAGCCTTTTGGGAGTTTCAAAACCTGCGTTACAGAGTCTAACCTGCCCCTCTTCCACTGTGTCTCCCCCTGCCTCTGTATTCCTGATGAAGGTGCCGGGGACACTGTCACAGGAGGTCCTGGGCCTGGGACCTCCATCCTGGCACATTCTTCTTAAGGAACTGTCTCCTGCCAACACCAAGTGTCCATAAGGGAGGCTCCATCTCAGCAGCTGGAATGGGGCCGCACTGGTACAAGCACCCCTAGCCCAGCC